GTCACTTTTCATTTACTTTAGTGGTCATCTTAGTTGTTGCCAGAGAAAACACCTTTTTTTAGTATTATTATTTCAAGCCTCAGTTGCTTGTTTTTATTATCCTTAATGTTGTGCTTTAAAAAGAAGTTACTTGTGATGCAGTCTAAATCTACATCCTAGATTTTAACTACTGTTGTCTATATGGTTTACATTTCAGGCTAAACAATAATTCCCAGAATATAAACACAGAATTCAAAGGACTGAGCCTGCCATGTTTTTTACTCCTGCAGCTCTAGTTAGCATGTATATTATACCCATTTTCATGCCTCTCTGTTCCTCCAGGCAATAGACTATTGCTTTTATTCATGAGGCCTGAAAATAACTTGTGATAGGGATCTGGTTATTTCTTTGTTTATCGGGACAGAAGTTCCCTCTAACTTTCTTGAGCCCTTCTAACCAGTCCAGTAAACTCGTGATTTTTTTCATTACTTTCTGTTAATCTGTCATGTTACTGATTTATGCCTCATTTTCTGGACCCTTAAATTCAGAGTAGAACTGAAATTACAGTTCACTGGGAACTGTATCATCTGTGCCGGTGTGAAGGCAACTGCATTCTTCCGAGTGTGTTACTTACAACATGTATTCTTCATCAGAGATCCCTGTTACTCATCACCACGGGCCATTCTATTCCTATTCATAGAATCACAGAATCATGGAATCATAGAATAGTTTGGGTTGTAAGGGACTTTTAAAGGTCATCTAGACCAAACCCCCTGCAATGAGCAGAGCCCCGTCTAACCTGACCTGGAATGTTTCCAGCGATGGGGAATCTACCACCTCTCTGGGCAACCTGTGCCAGTGTTCATGAAACACTGTGAAACACCCTCATTGTGAAACATTGCTTCCTTGTATCAAGGTAAACCTACCCTCTTTTAGTTTAAAACCATTACCCCTTGTCCTATCACAACAGGGCCTGATAATGAGTCCCACTCCACCTTTCCTGGACGCCCGCTTTAAGTACTGGAAGGCTACAGTAAGGTCTTCCCGAAGCCTTCTCTTCTCCAGGCTGAACGACCCCCGCTATCTCAGCCTTTCTTCATATCCCTCTGATAATTTTTGTGGCCCTCTTCTGGACCCGCTCCAACAAGTCCATGTCTTTTCTGTGCTGAGGACTCCAGAGTACTCCACTACTCCAGTACTCCAGCTGGGGTCTCAGCAGAGAGGAGTAGAATCACAGAATCACCTCCCTTGACCTGCTGTCCACACTGCTTTGGGTGCAGCCCAGGATATGGTTGGCCTTCTGGGCTGCAAGCACACGTTCCTGGCTCATGTCCAGCTTTTCATCTACCAGCACCTCCAAGTCCTTCTCGGCAGGGCTGCTCCTGATCCCTTCATCTCCCAGCCTGTATTGACACCAGGGGTTGCCCCAACCCAGGTGCATGACCCTGTGCCTGGCCTTGTTGAACCTCATGAGGTTCACACAGGCCCATTCCTCGAACTTGACCAGGTCCCTCTGGATGGCATCCCATCCCTCAGGCATGTCACCTACACCACTCAGCCTGGTGTCATCTGCAGACTTGCTGAGTGTGCACTCAATCCCACTGTCTATGTCATTGATGAAAACATTAAACAGTACTGGTCCCAGTATGGACCCCTGAGGGATACCGCTCGTCACTGATCTCCATCTGGACATTGAGCCATTGACACTTTGGATGCAACCATCCAACCAATTCCTCATCCACCCAAGAGTCCACACATCAAATCCATATCTCTCCAATTTGGAGAGAAGGATGCTGTGGGGGATCGTGTCAAAGTCTTACCGTGCCAAAGTCCAAATAGATGATATCAGTAGCTCTTCCCTTGTCCACTAATGCAGTCACTCCATCCTAGAAGGCCACTAGGTTGGTCAGGCAGGACTTGCCCTTGATGAAGCCATGCTGGCTGTCTTGAATCACCTCCCTGTCCTCTACGTACTTTAGCACAACTTCTAGGAAGATCTGTTCCATAACCTTCCCAGGTACAGAGGGGAGGCTGGTGGGTGGGTAGTTTTCAGGGTCCTCCTTGTTACCTTTTTTAAGAATGGGTGCAATGTTTCCCTTTTTCCAGTCTCCAGGAATTTCACCTGACTGCCAGGACTTTTCCAATGTGATGGAGACTGGCTTGGCAACTACATCAGCCAATTCCCTCAGGACTCTCAGATGCATCTCATCAGGTCCCATAGACTTGTACATGTTCGGGTTCCTCAGGTGGTCTTGAACCTGATCTTCTCTTACAGTGGGAAGGACTTTGCTCCTCTAGTCCCTGTCTTGCAGCCCATCCCCTCGAGAGGTGTGGGAAGAGACACTGCCAGTGAAGACCGAGGCAAAGAAGTCATTGAGTACCTCGGCCTTCTCCTCATCTGTTGTTACCACTTTGCCAGTTTTGCTTATCAGGGGGGTATGTTTTCTTTGACCTTTCTTTTCTGGCTGACATATCCATAGAAGCCCTTCTTCTTATTCTTTCTGTCCCTTGCCAAGTTCAGCTCCAGCCCTGCCTTGGCCTTGCTGACCCCATCCCTACACAACCAGGCAGCATCCCTGTACTCATCCCAGGATGCCTGTCCCTGCTTCCACTGCCTGTGCATTTCCTTCCTGCCCTTTAGTCTGCCCAGCAGGTCTCCACTCATCCATGCTGGTTTCTTTCCTTCCTTTCCTGATTTCTTACACCTGGGGATTGAGAGCTCTTGTGCTGTATGGAAGGTCTCCTTAAAGACTTGCCTGCTCTGTTCTGCTCCCTTGTCCCTGTGGGTAGTTTCCCAGGGGGTCCTACTGACTAACTCCCTGAAGAGTTGCAAGTTTGCTTTCCTAAAATTCAGGGTCTTGACTTTACTCTTCGCCTGCCCCATATCCCTCCAGACTGCGAACTCCAGCAGTGCATGATCACTGCAGCCCAGGCTGCCTCCAATCTTGACATGACCAATTAGTTGACTTGCACTGGTGACCAACAGGTCCAGTACCACATCACCTCTGGGAGGTCAGTCTATTTCCTGGCATAGGAAGTTGTCCTCAATGCATTCCAGGAATCTCCTGGATTGCCTACAGCTCACCGTGCCACTTTGCAGCAGATGTCGGTGTGGCTGAAGTCCTGCAGCAGGGCAAGAGCCTGTGAGCATGATGCCTCCTGTAGCTGGAGTAGGAAGGTTTCATCAGTAGGCTTCCCTTGATTGGGTAGCCTGTAGTAGACACCAACCACAAGGTTCCCTTTTTTGCCTCAGCCCCTGAATCTTACCCCTAAGGTTTTGACCTGCTCGTGGCTATTCTTCAGAGACAGCTCTTCACACTCTGTCCATTTCTTGACATAGTGGGCAATGCCTCTACACTTCCTTCCTCACCTGTCCCTTCTGAACAGCCTGTAGCCATCAATAGCCACACTCCAGTCGTGGGATTCATCCCACCAAGTTTCTGTAATGGTAATCAGGTTGTAGCTTTCTAACAGCATGGTGGCTTCCAACTCCTCTTATTTGTTGCCCGTGACTGTGTGCATTGGTGTAGAGGCACTTCAGCTGGGCTGTCGGCTGTGTCACCCTCTTAGAGGAACACCCTTTAGTTTCTCTGATGTCTGTCTTTGGTGCGACAGGCTGAGGGGCCTCGCTACCACCCTGTCCCTCTAACTCTGGTGTGTCATCCCACACCTTGTCATGGGTCAGCCTGATGTTATCCCCCTGCTCCTTCGATTCTAGTTTACAGCCCTATTCTTTATTTTTATTCCACATGTTCCACATATTCAGCACTGTATTTCCTTTCTTCATCACAGACCCAACTATATTGTTCTAACCATGTTTTACAGCATGTTGCGCCACACCTTAACCTGTGAAAAGCTGAGGACCTCCCATCTGCAGTTCTATAGCTCTGCTCCAGTCTTCTCTTTCCATTTCAACACTGCACTCTGCCTCTCACGTGCAGCGATGTAACCATCCACCAACATCCCAGAGCCCGCTGCAGCAGGACTTTGAACCTTGTGGCCCAGCGTGCCTCACCCCTCGCACCCTTGCACCTGCAATTCCTGCACCTTGTTGTTGAGAGCTTCCCCTGGAAAGCGCTTGCCTCCTGCGTGTGAATCACCCCTCCTTCCCCTACTCTCTTTTTTCCCAATTCCTTTGCAGCTTTGAACTTATTAGTTATGCTAGGGAAAGAAACGGGTCTTAGTTGATAACATTAGCTATCGAACTAGCCAATAATATACATACACAAAGCTTGACAGCTAATCAGTGTGTGCGGCACCTGGACCTGATCAAAGCATGCTCCGTGGAGCACCGTTTATGCTCCGGGCAAGAGCAGCCGGCGGGGAGATTGAGTGCACCCCATTGAAGCTAGAGAGTTACTCTGGAAAAGTGTTTGGACGGATCCCCTCGTGCACTGGAGAAGATGCCCTGAATAGGATGACCTTCTGGGAAGATTCCTGTTGCTTCTCTTTCCATCCAGCCACTATTGCATTTTTCCTTCCTTTTTCATTTTTCCTCTCTCTCCTTCTCTTTGCCCCTCCTTTTTGTCTTTTAATTTTTTTTCTCAGAAGTAACATTTACTGTTAGAGTTGGTGGATGTTATGAGCTATGGACATTGAAAATAAATCTTTGTGCGTGTAGGCTTCTCTCAACATTTTTGTGCAACACTCATTTATCTCACTGAATTTAATGAGACTGAATAAGAAAAGGGTACATACCACATTAACTGGAATTTTCTTGCTTGTTTCTACCAATAGAAATTTGTAAGTTCATATGTACAAATATTTGATGCATTTTTTGAGTTCTCGAAAGTCCATAGTATTTTAGCAATAGTAAATTGCTCATTTTCTTCTTTGCAAAATCTTGCAAGGAAAAAAAAAATTGTAGGCCAGTTTGTCAGGTGACTCAGCTCCTGAAGCATTGATTCAGCTCTCACAGATTATTTGAGATATCTGAAGTTGTGCAGAATATGCCATATCATGTGACCCTTAATTAAATATTTGTTTATGTTTTGATTTTTGTTATTTGCCGTTTACTGTAGATTTATGCCTACGTATTTGAGAATATCAGATCTGTTCAGTTGGAGACTTTACTTCTCTCCTTGCTGAGTATTGTGGTGCTTGTTCTTGTTAAAGAATTGAATGAGAAATTTCAGAGAAACATTAAAGTTGTTCTTCCCATTGATCTAGTTTTGGTAAGTATAAGATCAAACATCAAACTTTTTGCTTTGCAAAGCTTTCAGTGGTTCAACTGATCTGCTGAAATTTACCGTGTTGTCTATAGTTACCCACAGCCACACCTGCCACTTGTTAAATGGATAGCTAATTTTCATGGCTGTGTGTTAAATGTAAGAACAGGAAATAGTTTAGCTAAATAATTTAAGAACGAAGTGACATATGTTCCCAATTTGTATGATTTTTTCATGTGTTTACTATTTTTTACAAAATCACAAGAACATGAAGCTTAGAATGCTAAAGTGTAAGAAGTTTGAAATAGAAAATGAAAAGTAACAGGCACGTTATATATCCAGGCAAGTCTTGTGCTGGGAAGTTGTGGTTTGAATGTTCCGTGTTATTTATCTGCAACATAAATACCTAAGCTATTGCCTTCTGTAATTTTACTTACAGTTTTTCTTTCACATGGCATATGCTAAATTGAAATTACCTACTGCATTTTAAATCCCTACTTCAAGGATTAAGCTATACTTCAATAACCAGCACCAGGACAGAAGATTTCTGTTTTCCTCTAGACCTCTAAAGTAAAATTAAAAAAAAAAAAAAAATGAAGGGCAGGTGCTTTTCACAGTGGATCACAGAATCACAGAATCACAGAA